CATACTGGGTCTTTTCTCTACTTGAGTATTGCTGGTGTCTTTCTGTGGGTCCAGATTTCTTCTTATAGAGACACTAGTCCCTGTAAGAAGGTTGGACTGGTGCATACCCTAATGGCCTCCTTTTTAGCTTCATGACCTCTTTTAAAGGCCTTCTCTCCAAAGATCTCGAAAGAAAATATCTTCTGAGGTACTGTGGGTTTGCAAATGTTGGAGACACAAGGTTCAGCCTGTAGAAATAGATTATCATTAACTGAAGTTCATAGTGCACATCAGGGCTTACTCCGTGTTGCACCTTCTATGGGTTGTGACAAACGCAAATGTTTAATGGCATGTGTCCACTGTTGTAATATCACAGAGTGTAGTTTCACTGCCTAAAAATCCTCTGTACTCTGCCTATTCATCCTTCTTACTCCTAGCCCTGGTAACCACAGATCTTTCTTTTTTTTTTTTGAGATGGGGTCTCACTCTTGTCACCCAGGCTATAATGCAGTGGCATGATGTCAGCTCACTGCAACCTCCACCTCCCCAATTCAAGCAGTTCTCATGTCTCAGCCTCCCAAGTAGCTGGGATTACAGGCATGAGCCACCTTGCCTGGCTCATTTCTTTGTATTTTTAGTAGAGACAGGGTTTCATCATGTTGACCAAGCTGGTCTCGAACTCCTGACCTCAGGTAATCCGCCCACCTTGGCCTTCCAAAGTGCTGGAATTACAGATGTGAGCCGCTGTGCCCCGTCACCATGCCTCCCTAGTTGTGCCTTTTCCAGAATGTAATATACGGCCATTTGTCACTTAACCATAGGGATATGTTTTGAGGAATGCACTGTTAGGCAATTGCATCATTGTGTGAACATGACAGAATGTATTCACATAAGACTCCATGGCAGAGCGTCCTGCACTCCTAGGTGGTTGAGTATGGCCTGTCCTCTCTAGGCTACAAACCTGTGTAGCTTGTTACTGTACTGATTACTGGAGGCAATTGTAACACAATGGTAAGTATTTATATATCTAAACATATGTAAATATAGAAAAGGCACAGTAAAGAGATTTAAAAACAGTATGCTTGTGTAGAGTACTTAACTTGAGTGGAGCTTGCAGGACTGGAAGTTGCTTTGGGCGAGTCAGGGAGTAAGTGAGTGGTGAGTGAATGTGAAGGCCTAGGACAGTCCTGTATACTACTGGACACTTTAGAAACATTGTACACTTAGGTTACACTAAATGTCTACAATAATAAATGAACTGTAGCTTACTGTACAGTTTTCTTCAATAATAAATGAACTGTAGCTTACTGTAACCTTTTTACTTTACAAAAACTTTTTAATTTTTTTAAATTTTTGACTCTTGTAATAACACTTGGCTAAAACATAAATACATCATGCAGCTGTACATAAATATTTTCTTATTCTTAAGCTTTAATTACAAAATTTTTTTTTAAAGTTTAAAAACTTTTTTTGTCAAAAACACAGAGACAAACACACTCGTTAGCCTAGGCCTGCTCAGGGTCAGGACTGTCAATATCACTGTCTTCCACTTCCACATCTTGTCCCACTGGAAGGTCTTCAGGGGCAGTAACACATGTGGAGCTATCATCTCCTAGGATAACAGTGCCTTCTTCAGGAATACCTCCTATAGGACCTGCCGGAGGCTGCTTTACAGTTAGTTTTATTGTTTTAATGAGTAGAAGGTGTACACTGTAAAATGACAATAAAAAATATAGTATAGTAAATACACAAACCAGTATCAGTCATTTATTATCATTATTGGGTATTATGTACTGTGCATAATTGTATGTGCTAGACTTTTTTTTTTTGAGACAGAGGCTTGCTCTCTTGCCCAGGCTGGAGTGCAGTGGTGCAATCTCAGCTCACTGCAATCTCTGCCCCCTGGGTTCAAGCAATTCTCCTGCCTCAGCCTCCTGAGTAGATGAGATTACAGGTGCATGCCACCACACCTGGCTACTTTTTTATATTTTTGGTAGAGACGGGATTTCACTATGTTGGCCATGTTGGTCTCAAACTCCTGACCTCAAGTGATCTACCTGCTCCGGCCTCCCAAACTACTGGGATTACAGGTGTGAGTCACTGTGCCTGGCCTGTATGTGCTAGACTTTTATGCAACTGGCAGTGTGGTATGTTTTTTTACCCCAGCATCGCAGCAAACACATGAATAATGTGTTGCATTATGACTTTATGATGCCTATGACTATCACTAGGCAACAGGAATTTTTCAGCTGTATTTTATTCTTATGGGACCTCCACTACACATGTGGTCCATTGTTGACCAAAATGACTTTATGAAGCACATTACTGTAGTTGGAATCCAATGGAATGTCATTGTTGAGTTAGCTTCTTTCACTTAGTAATATGTCCTTATGGTTTTTCTATATCTTTGTGTAGTAATAACTCATTTCTTTTTAGTGCGGAATAATGTTAAATTGACTGGATGAGCCACAGTTTGTTTATCCACTCACCGTCTGAAGTACATCCTGGTTGCTTCTAAGTTTTAGTAATTATGAATAAAGCTGCAATAAATATTTGTGTGCAGGTTTTTGTGCGAACATAGTTTTCAATTCTGTTGAGTAAATACCAAGGAGGGTGATTGTTGAATCATAAGGTAAGAATATGTTTCGTTCTGTAAGAAACTGCCAAAATGCCTTCCAAAGTGGCTGCACCCTTTTGTATTCTGACAAGCAATGAATGAGAGTTCCTGTTGTTCCACATCCACACCAGCATTTGTTGTTGTCAGTGTTCAAGAATTTGGCTATTCTAGGCCGGGCATGGTGGCTTATGCCTGTAATCCCAGCACTTTGGGAGGCCGAGGCAGGGGGATCACCTGAGGTCAGGAGTTCGAGACCAGCCTGGCCAACATGGCAAAACCCCGTCTCTACTAAAAATACAAAAATTAGCTGGGCTTGGTGGCACACGCCTGTAATCTCAGCTACTTGGGAGACTGAGGCAGGAGAATTCCTTGAACCCAGGAGGTAGAGGTTGCAGTGAGCTAAGATCACACCATTGTATTCCAGCCTGGGCAATAAGAGCGAAACTCCATCTTGAAAAAAAAGAATCTGGCTATTCTAATAGGTGTGTAGTGGCATCTCATTGTTTAAATTTGTGATTTCCTAATAACATATGATGTGGAGCATCCTTTCATATGCTTAGTTGTAGAATTACAAGAGGATTTTGATAGAGCTAGCATTGAGTTTACAGATCATTTTGAGAAGAATTATCTTAAGAATTGAGTCATCCAATCCAAGAACATGGAATTTCTCTTCATTTATTTAGATCTTCTTTAATTTCTCTCAACAATGTCTTGTAGTTTTCAGTGTTCAATGCAATTCTTTTCTTAAACATACTCTTAATTATTTACTTCTTTTTAATGCTACTGTAAATTAAATTGCGTCTTTATTTAATATTAAACCTTTTTAGTTTTGGAAGACTTCACAGTTACAAGAACATTGCTCTCATCTTCTATATATTGAAATAATATAATTGCAAGCAAGTTGGTACTATCATCTGAAGCGCATCAAGGTTGAAATCCCAAATATTTTATAGTTACTGTCTCAAGAGAAATGAACTTCCTTATTGGCCATAGATTATTTATTTTTAAATTCATTTTTGGTATGAAATAGTAACTGCTTATTTAGCTAACAATTATTTTGGTTGGCATTTTAGGCTGAGCTCAGCTGGGTGGTTTTCTAGTCTAGCTGGGCTGGCTATGTATCCATGGTGACCTGCCTGTCAGGTGGCTCTGCTGCTTGGAGCTGGCTAGACATTGACTGGGACCACAGCAGTGCCTGGGCCATATTCCTTTCATGGTAGCAGGTTACCCTGGGCTTGCTTTTGTGGTGTGTTGCAGGGATCCGAGAGAGAACACAGGCCACTGGACCTCAGGAGGCCTAGGCTTAGAGTGGTGGTGCTGTCACTCTGCCTCATTCTGTTGACCAAAGCGAGTCACAAGGCCAGCTGGAATTAAAGGTGAGGGGAAATTGATCCCATCTCTTGATGGGAGGAGCTTCAAAATCAAATGCAAAGGGGCATGGCCATAGGAAAGAAGTAATCGTGGCCATTTTTGCAAACAGTTCACCATGGGAGTGTGTATCTTTGCAGTTCAGTCTGGCTGATTAGAATCTGAGTCATATTTTTGTTTGTTTGTTTGTTTGTTTGTGAAATTATCCACTTCTGAATCTTGGCAGGGACAAATACCACCACTTCCAACAGGAGCTGAAAATGCTCCTTGTTTGTTTTCTTCTTCCATTGCATCTAGGGCATGGGCACCTGTGCAGTTTAGAGGTGAGGAAGGTGAGCTAGTAGGTTCAATGTAGAATTGGTGTTCTAGTTAGGATGATGACAGGGATGCCTGGCTGAAAGGCCATGTTCTCATTGCAGAAATGGCAACTGTGCTGGTGTTGACCTTGGTTGCAATACAGTTAAGTTATGGGTGAAAAGCGGGGAGGGTGCCAATTGTCACCTCTCTTGCTCTGCTGCAGCAGGGCCATCAATATTTCATGAGAAACAGGGCCTGGTGCTGCGTCTATTTGCGGTAAGTGCATTTTGCTATAATTGGACATGGTGAGCCCTTGCTAGAGTTACCGAAACAAGTGCGTACCCTAGAGATGAGTTGAATTGGTCTCTTCAGGTTTCACTTCTGCAGGGAGATGGTTGACGTTGCCAGATACTCCTTGTTGGCTCCAAGGGTCTTATTGAACTGTGTGCAGTGAAGGGAGGAATCTGAGGAGGGTGCTGCCTGAGTGGCCTCACTCTGCTTAGTCTCCCAGGTTCACCTTTCATTTCAGTCCAGTGGTCTTGTATCATGTGAGTTTGTAAAGAAAGCTAATCAGTCAACTGGAGAATGATCTGCTATTTTAGCATCACTTGTTTAGCTTGTGAAACTGACCATGCTTCCAGGAGGTACCCATGACTCTGGCTGTGCAGGGGCCCTACAGGGTCCTAGTGGGTCAGCTGTGAGCCCAGGGGACAGTGTCTGTCTCTTTCTTTCTCTACAGGCAGCCTGTGTGGTGATGGCACTGGTACATGCTACCTGCTGCCCGTCTTTGACACTGTGTTCATCAGGAGGAAACACTGGTGCCAAGGCTTGGGAACAGCCATGCTGTGGGACTTCTGTGAGACATTCCCAGAGGACGAGGCCCTGGGGGTCAGCTGCCTGATGTCTCCTGCCATGTACCAAGGTAAAACCCCTTGTGTCTTGCAGAAGCATTTGGGTAACGGTGATGGATAACACATGTGCATTCTGGAGGATTCTGCAGGGGGAGGCCCTGGGGAGCCCTCGTGGGCAGATGCAGGCCTCCGCTTGGCAGCACGCTCGTGGGGTTTTCCTTCTTTCTGAGAAATCTGTGGTTGCTGCAGCACAAACTGAGACTTCATGTTTGATCACAAGAAGTGAACTTCTCCCAAGCTGGAAAATAATTGGATTCAGAAACAATCACAAACAAATCAACGAGCTCAGAGAGAAGGGAATCCGGAGAGCTACCGCCATGCTGCGGGCTGCGGGGCTTTGGAGTGCCTTTGCTATTTCACTTGATGCCTGTAGTTCCTCACTTTGTCCTTTGAACTAGAAGCCACGGGAGAGCCCAGAAGCTGAAGGGAAGGCAGGGACCGGGTAGAAAGGCAAGCTCTGAATGGACTCAGCTTTCCAGCACCTCTGTAGCTCTCTACGCACAAGATGCCTCCCTCCCATATTCTTTATCCACCTTTGCCAGAGGAGGATGAAACAACTCTCATGTGAAACATCACACTCTAAGGTGACGAGGGTGGGAGGCTCTGGAGAGCATGTCTCTGAGTCCCCTTCTCCCCCATGAAGCACACACACCCTACTTTGTGCCCTGCCTCTGTTCTTGGTGTGCGGCAGTTTTTGAACGCTTAGTATGCAGTTTCTGGCGTCTTTCTGGCTCAAGGGATAGGAGAGAACAGTTAGGAAAGGCAAGGAGGCTTCCGTTGCTGTGAAGTCATAAAGAAAAGCAGGTAAAAACATACTTTTCCCCAAGTGGGTCTGGCTGTTTCTTTGTATTTTCAAACTCTTAGCCTGTTGTTAAAACTCTGAAGAGCCTTGAATTTCTGCAAGAGTGCTCAAGGCTTCCTGCATCGTGTAGCTCACTTTCAGGTGCAGGAGCATTCGGGGGCCCAGGCAGCTGGTCCTCTGTCCATACCCATGTCCTTCCAGGTCCCCTCCTCCTTCTCGCTTCAGGTGCAAGCCACCTCAGGGTTTTAGGAAGCTTTAGCAAGGGAGTGGAAGAGAGCCTTTTACTCAAAGGAACAGTGGGCTCCAAGGCTAAGGGCTGGCTGCTGATCCTGGGCCAGCCTTGCTGAGACCCTGTAGGGCCCTGTGATCCCTCCCATCCTTCCACTGTCTTTGCCTGCAGAGAAAGATCTGAATGTGCTGATTCTGACTCACGCTACTTCTCTCTGGGCTTCAGCCACCCAGGTGTGCCTGTCAGGTTTTTACTGAGTTCAGTGATGCCTTCCAACTGGACAGGAGGGACTCTGGCAGGAGTCCTGGGCCCCATGCTTTGAGCCTTCTTTCAACTGAATCTTCCTCCAAGGGGCGAGGACTCCATGGGCCCAAGAGGAGGTGCCCACCTGGCTCATGCTGCTCCTTCTAAACTGGCTCAGGGTGCCAGTACCCCAGGATTCCTGCCAGTGGCCACTGTGGGCCTGAGTGGACCTCATCCCTGGGTCTGTGCTCATAAGGGTGGACCATGCTGCCAGTTTGCACATCCTCAGAGCCCAGGGGCGGCTCCTGGGGGACTGTGGATGGCATGTGGGGAGGACGGCCACATTTGTACTCACAGGCCCCGTGAGGTATTGGGGGCTGGGGTGGGAGGAGAAGGGGGTGGACTGCCGGCTGGGGGCCAGCTCGCTTGGTATTGCCACATTCTGGTGCAACACTCCAAGGAGTCCAAGAATTCTAAATTTGAAACGAGCTTCTCCTGTTGTTAGGAAGTTATATTTGTCAAGATAGGAGGGCAGAACATGTCATATATAGCGCTTTGCTAACTTGGTTTGTACCTTTGGAAGACAGGCATTCCTCATTTCACTGCTCTTCCCTTGATTGCACTTTGCAGATGCTGCATGTTTTACATTTTGAAGGCTGTAGCAGCCCTGCTTCAAGCAAGTCTATCAGGGATATTTTTCCAACAGTATGGTATCGTTTCATGTCTCTGTGTCATGTTTTGGTAATTTTCACAATATTTCAAACTTCTTCATTATTATTATATCTGTCGTGGTGATCTGTGATCAGTGATATTTGATGTTAGAATTGTTATAACATCAATTGGGGGCACCACAAACCATGCCCGTGTAAGTCAGTGAACTTATCCATACACGAGTCTGTTCTGACTCCACTTCCGATCAGCTGTTCCTTCCTTTTCTTCCTATTCCATGAGACACAACAATATTGAAATTAGGCCAATTAATAACCCTACAATGGCCTCTGAATGTTCAAGTGAATGGAAGAGTCACATGGCTTTCACTTTAAATCAAAAGCTAGAAATGACTAAGCTTAGCAAGGAAGGCGTGTCAAAAGCTGAGGTATGCTGAACGCTAGGCCTCTTGCACCAGGTAGCCAAGCTGTGAATGCAAAGGAAGAATTCTTAAAGGGAATGAAAAGTTCTACTCTGGTGAACACACAAATGATAAGAAAGTAAAGCAGCCTTATTGCTGATAGGGAGAAAGTTTTAGTGGTCTAGATAGAAGATCAAACCAGCCACAATACTGCCTTAAGTCAAAGCCTAATCCAGAGCAAGGCCCTAACTCTCTTCAATTCTATGAAGGCTGAGAGATTTGAGCAAGCTGCAGAAGAAATGTTTGAAGCTAGCAGAGGTTGACTTATGAAGTTTGAGGAAAGAAGCCGTCTCCATAACATAAAAGTGCAAGGTGAAGCAGCAAGTGCTGATACAGAAGCAAAGCAAGTTATCTGCAAGATCTAGCTCAGATCATTGATAAAGGTGGCTACACTACACAACAGATTTTCAATGTAGGTGCAACTGCCTTTTACTGGAAGAACATGCCATCTAGGACTTTCATAGCTAGAGAAGAGAAGTCGGTGCCTGGCCTCAAAGCTTCAAAGGACAGGTTGAGTCTCTTGTTAGGGGTTGATGTAGCTGGTAGCCTTCAGCTGAAGTCAATCCTCATTTACTGGTCTGAAAATCCTAAGGCTCTTAAGAATTATGCCAAATATTTTCTGTCTGTGCTCTAGAAATGGAACAACAGTGTCTGGATGACAGCGCGTCTGTTTACAGCATGGTTTATTGAATAATTTAAGCCCACAGTTGAGACCTACTGCTCAGAACAAAAGATTCCTCTCAAAATATTATTGCTCATTGACAATGCACCTGGTTATCCAAGAGCTCTGATGAAGATGTACAAAGAGGTTAATGTTGTTTCCACGCCTGCTAACATAATATCCATTCTGTGGATCAAGGAATAATTTTAGCTTTCGAGTCTTATTTAAGAAATACACTTCCTAAGACTTCCATAAATAGTGATTCCTCTGATGGTTCTGGGCAAAGTACACTGAAAACCTTCTGGAAAGGATTCACCATTCTAGACGCCATTAAGAACACTCAGGAACACTCATGATTCATGGAAGGTCAAAATATCCACATTCATAGGAGTTTGGAAGAAGTTGATTCCAACTCTCATGGATAACTTTGAGGGAGGAGTCCAAGACTTCAGCAAAGGAAGTCGCTACAGATGTGGTGGAAATAAAGAGAGAACTAGAATTAGAAGTGGAGCCTGAAGATGGGACTGAATTGCTGCAATCTCATGATTAAACTTGAACAGTTGAGGAGTTGCTTCTTATGCATGAGCAAAGAAAGTGGGTTCTCGAGTTGGAATCTCCTCCTGTTGAAGATGCAGTGGACATTGCTGAAATGACAACAAAGGATTTAGAATATTCCATAAATTAGTTAAGAAAGCAGCAGCAGCAGGGTTTGAGAGGATGAACTCCAATTTTGAAAGAAGTTCTACTGTGGGTAAAATGCTGTCAAACAGCATCACATGCTGCATAGAAATCTGTTGTGAAAGGAAGAATCAATTAGTGGAAGAAACTTCATTGCTGTGTTATTTTAAGAAATTGCCACAGCAACCCCACTCTGAGAAGCCATCAACCTTGAGGCAAGACCCTCCACCAGCACAAAGATTATAACTCCCTGAAGGCTCAGATGATCACTAGTATTGTTTAGCATTAAAATATATTTTAATTAAGGTATGTACATTATATTTTTTAGACAAAAATGCTATTGCATGCTTACTAGACTACAGTATACTATAAACATAACTTTTACATGAATGCACTAGGAAATCAAAAAATTTGTGTGACTTGCTTTTCTGTGATATTTGCTTTATTGTGGTGGTCTGGAACCAAACACACAGTATCTCCGAGGTCTGCCTGCACTTAGCATTGCACTGTGTAGGTTTCCATCTGTGTTCTTTCCCAGGGCCCCCCAAATGTTAAGAAGAGGGCCTAATGGAATCCTCATGGGCACCTGCAGAACCAGGAGCAGTTTCCCATTCACCTGGATTCAGGACATTGCCATGTGAAAATGTTCACCCATGAATGTGAGCATAAAAGTGTGGGAAACTTGAGTGGACCCTGGAATCCAGGAGGGAGCAGAGGATAAGCTTGAAGGTTCTTTGGGAGGGAGGAAGGACGGTGCATGAAGAGTGGCCAGGGTGGATGGTGCTGAGGACTGAATTGGGCCCCCCACTCAAATTCATATGTTGAAGCCCTTGGTGTGACCACATTTGGAGATAGGGCCTTTAAAAAGTTAATTAAGGTTGAATGAAGTCCTGAGGGTGGGCCCCTAGTCCTGTATGATTGGTGTCCTTGTAAGAAGAGAGGCACCAGGATGGACCCAAACAGAAACAGCCGTATGAGGATACAGGGAGAAAATGACCATTCGTAAGCCAAGGAGAGAAGCCTCAGGAGAAAACAACCCTGGGCCACCTTGATCTTGGATGTCCAGCCTCCATAACTATGAGAAATAAATTTCTGTTGTTTAAACCAGTGGTCCCCAACCTTTTTGGCACCAGGGACTGGTTTCGTGGAAGACAGTTTTTCCATGGATGGGGCAGAGACAAGGGATTGGTTTCAGAATGATTCAAGCACATTACATTTATTTATTGTGCACTTTATTTCTATTGTTATTACATTTTAATATATAATGAA